CACTTTTATACCGGGCCGTGGATAAGGTTGTGTGATGATTTCTTTAATGCTATTGCATTCGCCAAACCCTCATTGAGGGTGTTATTAAGTTTTGATTAGCTTCTCCTCCTTTTCTACCAAATAAATTTCTTCAGAATTGTTTGTTTTTTTTTCCAATCGATCACATTACAAATTTTGCCAATTACTCAATGCAAAGCTGAATTTAAGTGCAATCTGTTGAGCAAGTGTCGCTTCCAGCGATACCGGTTAGAGAACCCGGATTGGCAACAAATGCCTGGTAACGAACACGAAACAGCTAAGTGGGAAGGCTTACCCCAACATCGGGGGCAACGCTTTAGATACCCTTGCTGATTCAATGTTCCCAAGTATATTTTATATGTACATACATATGTACATTGGTCGAAGCTATACAGATGCACATTAAAGTACAGCTTGGCGTGCTATCAAGATACAGATACATATAGCCATGCAAGTATCTAACCGATGCTCACCAATAAAATATATGGGGGCAAACATCTGCTCAAAATTATAATACTCTCCGCGAGGGTATATTAAAGGCCATAATTACTATTTATTAGTCAGACTTTGATAAATATGCAAATAAAGGCAAATAATAGCTGGTTTTTGTGTGAAAAAGAACTCGCAATTGCCTTGAATTGGGGGTTTTCCTCGCATTTACATATTTGTACATACATGTACATATGTACATAGATGGTTATTTCTGGAGTGACGTAGCCGAACCGTGATTTCTTTTCGGCCTGAGACTGCTTTGGTCCCTCTGTGGTATCACAATGACACATCCATACGATAATTCCATTCAGTTAAAAGCATTTAGAAACAAGTTCCCCGTATCAGCTTGATAGCAACAGCAAATAATATAAAATTTCGCTTATAATTAAAAGTTGCTATATCTTGACATTATTGTTATTATTCGCAATTGCGTGTGCTCACCCAGAGATGTCGCTGTCTGAATTGGAAAGTCGTCTTTCAATTACAATTGCCACCGCTCCGACAAGTTCCTCGCTCTCGGACGGGCTTTTGTTTGACGCGCGCAATCAAGATGTGCTGGGGCACGTTTTGGCCTTCGCTTCTTGTCAATTTGGTCCGTGGAAGACAAATTCATAAATATTTTAATTAAAATTTGAGCGAGTGTCGGGCAATGTTGTTCTAAGTAAAAAACTTTCCATTGCAAGCCCGAGAACGGAAACGGTTCTACAACGTCATCACAAACGCATAGCATTCCTAAAAAGGGGGAAACAGGAAGCAAACTTTTTGGCGCAAGTTCAGCGAAAGTTTTTCTGCAAAGCGAAATTTAACTAATTCCATTATGCATAGCAGAAAAAAATAAAATAAAAAGCCATTTGGAAGATGTTAAACAAAAATGTGAAAACTTTGCCCTTGTTGCTGCTGCTACTCGTAGGCCAGTAAACACTTTTCAGTTTGGTCGCGGAAGGTGGAAATTTAAAAACCTGCCTTTAGTTTCGCTGGGAAATTCACGTTGTGTTTATTTAAAGGGCGCACATAGTTTGGAAGACAGTTTGGCCCACGAAATATTCGTGCAATGGCTAATGAAGACTCGAGCTCTGTTTATTTTGAGCTTTGATTTATTTAAAGCCCCCGTGATTGAAAAACTAGTGATTAAAATTTAAACATTAGTTAATAATCATTTAAAAAATACAGAACATAAATAAGTTTTATTTTCTGAATGTTTTTGAGGCTGTGGGCAATGAAACGCATTTTGTTTTTACAAACAGAGATTAAAAATCGTAGGATTGTGTTTGTTTTGTGTAAAAACTTCTCTGTTGTACCTACGAGTATTGGGAATGGAGTATCTATATCTATATTCTTATATAGATGTTCTACTGCGTCCTACTTATGTATACAATTTGCGAAGCCAATTCTAAAAATAGGTACATTTCTGCAACCGAACCTACCCCAAAAACAGAAATCTTATTTACTAAAAAAATGAAATCATTAAGCGGCTTTTACTGTCAACAGAAATGGCACGAAACCATTTCAGAAGCAATTCACATTCAGGCATGGAAAAAATAAGAATAAAGAATGAAATTGCGCAGAGGAAAAGGAAGAGAACCCGCAGAAAACTGCCGTGCAATCGAATTGAAAGACAAACAAAAGGCGTGCTCGAGGGGAAGCGAAGCTTCCCTGTCGACTTGTTGCCACAATAAGCGACACGATTCATTCACTCACTCGCCCAGTCAGTTCGTCAATTACATTGATTTCGTGTGCGGTTTTGTTTGTGCTTCAGCTACCCACCTGCCGTGGCCCACGAACCATTTCACATGCCACATGGAACCGCGGAAGAAAAGTAAGGCGGAAACGGGAGCAAAAACTCACAGAGTCTAACCGGTGCGGATGCCGGCATGGCCATTGTCACCCTCAGCACCTTTTGGTTTGTCTGTCTGCCATTTAATAATACAAAGTGTCTCCGGGCTGAGGTCTGTGCCTCGGTGAGGTGTGCGGGATTTTCTTTCACTCCCTGGGACTTGACTGTCAATATTTTTGACAATTTCCTGCAACAACAAGCTCGATTGATTGACTTTTTCTTGCCACCATTTTCATTACTATTTTCATTTTCTGAGTCTTGTTGTCTGGCTTTTCTTTTTGCCCCGTAAAATTGTTTACCTCGACGTTATTTACTCAACGTAATGATTTTTCTATCGAACGCTTAGCATCGGAATCGCTGTCGAAATTCTCGTCGTGCGCCCTATTGTTGGCTCTTTTATTCACCTTTTTGTTGAATGCCAAAAATGTCAATTGATGTGTGCTGACTTATCTTTATCTTTATTTCTCTGTTTATGGCTGTTTATGTTTTACGAGGCGTACAAAATATCATTACACCTGATAGAAACGTATAATTTGGGCTGAATTTATGGCTTAAACTTTAAATAATGACTTTTGGGTCAAATTCGTACAATTATCATAACCAGTCTCCAATAGCGGCTCCAGAGCGTTTAGGAATTTCATTATACTCGTACACACATATGTACATATGTTTGTAAAACACTGAAAAACTTGAAATATATGTGCGTTGCTTCCGTCGGAATCTCATTCGAACACGCTTCCTTTAAAAGGCCACGGCACTCACTCCATTAATGTCTGGTGGACATTTCAAAAATTTGAATTTTTTATTTGAAGCTCCTCGTGCCTCTCGTTGATGCAACCGCAGCCAAATTAATTTCCAATTCTCTGGGTTTCGCTTTGACTCCGACGCGGGCGTGACAAATGCCACAAAAGTAAATTGTAAATTGCATAATTGCAGCTTTATTAAATTTAATAAAAATACATATGCATGCGCCGACATGACACGCCCACCCCGGGGCATCCCCGCAGCCAGGCAGACATATTCGGGCCGAGGTCGGGGGCGAGGAAAGGATCTCGCACCCTTTCTGCGCTTCCGTTAATCGACTGCACTTTTGCATCCTGTTGACTGCACACGGCAGGAGAGTCCCACCAGAGAGTCCTGCTCGACATATGCTGCTGCCATCCCTTTGTGCCGGCTCGGGACCAGTGGGCATTGGGTGCGCTTTGCTGCCACAGCCAGGCGGCAGTTGCCGCCTCATGCCACCGGTGTTTTTTGTCTCTCCATTTTGTATCCCATTTAATTTGGCGTTTTCTTCTGACCCTTGTTGGATTCTTTTGCGTTTTATTTATCTCCATTCGCTCTTTATTCCTCGTTTTTTGAATAATTTTAATAAAGTTCGCTGGGATTTTTGTTCCTCTCCGACCGCCACTCCACGGCAGTCAATTGTTATCTCCCGGCGATAAGTAAATATGCAATTGGTGGGGCGAAGGCACAGCCGCAGACCAGACGGAGTCCTGCTCCTGAATTGCAATTGCAATTGGATTACCGAGAGCTCGATCTGAGTTGATTTTGGCACCTGGTATTCAAAGGCATATGGGATTTGAGTGCATATGTAAATAGATTAAGATAAACTAACAGCCGCAAAGAACGAAAAGAATAAGCAATCTACATATGTACATATATGCGATATCTAAGTACATATATGCCTCATTGTTTCGTTGTTGATGTGACTTTAGTACAGACGGTATCTTATAGTCGGAATGCACGAAAATGCTGCCTTTATTTTTGCTTTTCGTTTTTCGTTTTTCGTTTTTTGTTTTTCACATTTTTCCTTTTATGAGTACGACTGAATGATATGACCAGCGAGGAGCATACATATATGTACATATGTACATGTACATATGGATGTATGCAATTGTGAGCGCTCCATGCGGACTCTGAGGGGTTCGGATACGGGCAAGGGTACACGGGTAAAATTAAATGTGTGTGTGGGTTCGCTGGCATAATTCAATCTGTGTTGATAAAGCTTTTTGGTAAGCTTTATTTAATTGCGGAATGCATTGGGAGGCAACTCTTCGATGCCTGGACTGTGTTAATAAACAATATTATTACTCATCGAGTGCTAGAGTGCAATAGTACCCTGTAGCTTTGTTTTTTACTTGGCCAAAGCGCTTAATACAAATGCAATTAAGTGTAATTCAGTTTTCGGATAGTTCTTTACGTGCATATGTGTGTAGATACTCGATCTCTTTCGCAGAGCCCTTGATTGAAATGCAGCTCGTCATATTTGAAGCAATCAAAAACATTTGACAATCAAGTTAGTTTTTTGGGACTGATTGAGTTTGGTTTCTTGGAGCAATGAAAAACAAATCGAATATTAATCATCAATTAATTATAAAGATCACCCTGAGGGCCTTGTTTCTCTGGCTATACAAATTAATTGTACTGTTTGGATTCATCTTGGGCTACAATTTTGTAAATAAATAAATAATTGTGCCCGAAGGTGGTTACTGTACACTTTTATGAATGTTTAAATAGCTGCAAGTGTTCCGGATTGTTCATTCGGTAAAACGATTTCAATCTCTTGTTGGCCAGTGTACTGAAGTCAAGTGGAAAGATGATCAAGAGCCACGCAATTAGTGCCAGCAGCTACATATGTGGGAGTTTCGCGAAAGTTAGTTGAACAAACCAAATGACGGAGTTAGGTTGGATCATCGTCGCCCACGTGATTTTCATCACCTGCACCAATATAAGTGCCGCCGGCCAATCGGAACCGCATTACAGGTGGACAACGGTAAGTCCCAGGACCCATTTCCCAGCGCCACTCTCTTCTCTGCTCGTTTCCCGTGTAGCTCGACTGGCTGAAGGCCCACAACGTAAGCCATGAACTGCACAATGTGACTACCGCGGATGGCTATCAGCTCCAGCTGCAACGACTGCCGAGGACCGGGGCACGCGCCGTGCTGCTGGTCCATGGACTGCTCGGATCATCGCTCGGCTGGGTATGCCTTGGGCCCGAAAAGAGTTTGGGTAAGCGAGAGGGCCTCTTGTGCCTGGGTATCCAACTGAGTGTTGTATAGCTTTTCAGCTGCACCAGCTCCAGTACGACGTGTGGCTGGCGAATCTGCGCGGCGCGTACCCTTACGGGCGCCATCACCTCGAGCTGACCGATGTCATGGACGATTTTTGGAGCTTCAGCTTCCACGAGCATGGCGCCTACGACCTGCCCGCCATAATTGACCACATGGCGGAGGTCACAGGCAGCGAGCAGCAGTCCGGAGGAGCGGACAAAGAGGAGCCACCGCGACAAGTGCTGCTAATTGGACACTCGCAGGTGAGCGGTGTTTGTCCGATGATGCACTACCCTAAACATGGCTCCCTCCTGTGTGCGGTGTCCAGGCCTTCAATGCTTTTCTGGTGCTCTGCTCGATGCATCCGCGTTTCAATCAACGCATCCAGCTCATGCAGGCGATGGCACCCCTCTCTCGACTGCATCGAAAGGTGCGCTTCGACTCCGCACAGGTGCGCAGCCTCATGAAGTTTGTCAAGGTAATTAGCGGACGCTGTAATAATCCTGTTATGCCACGGGTACTCTTCCCAACACTACGAGTATTCTGACCACAGGTTCCACGTGCCTCCATCCAATTCTATATCTTTGGTTTATTGTAGTAATTAGCTTTGACAAACGGCGTTTTCGTGATCTCTGCCTCATAGAACTTATCGCGCACTTTGAGCTCCACCCTGGTTCCAGGCGCCTTCAGCGTCTCCTGCACATAGCCCAAGGCTATGTTGCGACCAGTGCTGGGACTTGGGCAGCCACTTGTCACCTGTCCCACCTGCTGGCCCCCATTGAAGATGGCCACTCCCGAGCGGGCTGGCGGAGGTTTTGCTCCCAGCATTTGTAGACCCACGCGACGGCGCTGAACTCCTCCTTTGAGCTGGCCGAGAACCACATCAGCACCTGGAAAGTCGCGAGTAGCTCGACGCCTTTTGGCCACTAGCCAGGCCAGAGCTGCCTCCACAGGTGTGGTTTGGGCATCGATGTCGCTGCCGTAGAGACAGAGACCCGCCTCCAGCCGTAGCGAATCTCTGGCACCCAGGCCAGCCAGCTTTAGGATTCCATTAGCCAAGAGGGCTTCGGTGAGAGCCTGTACGTGTGCAGAAGCCACCGATATCTCCACGCCATCCTCCCCAGTGTAGCCACATCTCGTAATCCTCACATCGGGGATACCTGCCAAAGTGCCGACGAAAGATCGCATAAAGTACAGTTGGTCTAGAGCCGTGGCTGGAGCCAGTAGCCTGGCTAGTTCCGCAGCCACTCGGGGCCCTTGTACGGCAACCAGGGACTGATCGGACGGTGCTAGAAACTCAACGGATACGTCTCTGCCCTTGGACTTGAAGTATGACTGAAAGTAAATGGAAGTATGTAGACTTGGTTCTTATTCAAATCTCTATAGCCATGCCATACCGCAGCTGCACTGATTACATTCATATCCTGCTGCTTCATAGCGGCATTGGAGACAACATACAGCTCCTTCTCGCTGACCTTGTTCACAATGAGATCGTCCAGAATGCCGCCTTGGTCATTGGTGAATACCGTGAGGGTTCCACTACCCTCCGGAGTACCTAAGATGTCCGCCGTACAAACAGACTCCAGACAGGCAGCTGCATCTTTGCCCCTCACATAGGTCTGGAGCATATGCGATACATCGAAAATGGAGCCCACACTCCGGGTGTGCAGATGCGAGGAGATGATGCTCTGGTCAGAGTATTGCACTGGCAGTGCATAGCCCCCGAAGTTTACGATTTTTCCACCATTCTGCACGTGAAAATCGTAGAGGGCCGTGCGGTTTCCCTCGCTGGAGCGATCCGAAGATACGTGGCGTAATCCGCCTAGGGTTGTGGGCAGAACCCGAGGCCCCGTCTGTTTCAGTCGATTGCTTAGCTTCAACATCACTCTAAGACTGTGCCGAAGCCCCAGAATTAGACAAACCCAGAGCTCGGAATTGATATTAGAGCAGCTGATAATAGATTGACTTCGCCTGACCCAGACTCTTGTAGAGAAATATAGAGATTGCATAGCGAGAGAGAGCGAGAGAGAGCGAGAGAGCGAGAGAGAGAGGGATACAAAAATGTATGGTTTGCTTGGTGATAACCCCCCGGGGTGATTCGAAAATTGTTGTGGTGGATGGATTAGTCTGGTGAAAGCACAACAGAACGGCTGTTCCGAACTTTTGTGGAATCGGTGGATCGTATATTCACTCTGGCGGGAAGCTATCTGAGGAACTTTGAAAGTTCCAAATGGGAGGGGTACAGTTACATGAATAAAGCAGAAACCACTGTTTTGTTTTTAGAAACGCCAAAAGTTAAACAAGTTTGAAATTTTTCCACCGGGATACTTTCGAAAAATATGTCAGAGCAAACATGATCAGTGCGAATATTATACCAAACAGCTGGCAGGAAGCGCCCGAAGCAACAGAAAGGTAACTTAACTTAACTTAACTTCACTTACTAGCTCAATATACGGACTAAATATGTTCTTTATTATCAGCTACTGGATGCCTTCAACTATGAATACCTGCTGCAGGGGGGCTCCGCTCGGGAGATAAGACATCTGCAGCAGATATGGAAATCTGGAGACTTTATCGCCTACGATTATGGACCGGTTCAAAACATGAAGGTCTACAATGGGGTGGAGGCCTTGCGATACAATCTCAGCAAGATCAGTGTGCCGACTATATTGTACTTCGGGGAAACCGATGCAATAGCCACACCGGAAGGAGTGCACGGCATCTACGCCCGAATGATGAACTCCGTGAGGAGCGTAAAAAGAATCGAGTCTCCGAAATTCAATCACTTTGACTTCCTTATCTCTGGCGAGGTCAAGTCTCTGGTCAACGACAAGTTAATCGAGCTAATGGAAAAGTTTCTCGAGGGTAAACTACCATACATAATTGAATAACGAACAGTTAACCGTCAGTCATCAAAGGCGTTCATTGAGTCCCATCAATATGTACGAATGACAAAAATAATTATCCAGCGAAGTGATTTATTTGTCTTGGCAACCATCCCAAATGCCAATTATGTAATGCTGCTGCTGCCTGGCCTGGCAGCACATAAAAAGCCAAATAAATGTATAATATCAAAAGGCAAAAGCGACCACTGGTCGACACTCTTACTTTCTTTTGATCGCAAACAAAAAATGTATCTGTTTCCATTGCCTTTTGTGCTGCCAAATTTGACCTACAATGACGCGACGGCTGGCAGCGTCTTTGGCCAATGATGTGTTGGGTTGGGAATACTCGTACATTGCTTCTAGTACAAATTCGTTGCTTGCTGGAATTATAATTATTGTAGACTGATTGTTGTGACTGAATTGAAAAACAATATTTGAAATCGGTAACAATTGTAGAATGTTAAAAGTACAACCACCCACTCGAAGCTTCACTGTGCCGCTGCACTTGATTAGTTGCTCACTTCTGATAGCGACGCCCCACGCATCCCAAATGCCTGTAGGCATACCCCCAAAGACACCACGTTTAATTAACTATCCAAAAGCGAAAAACGCAATCGAAAGGTAAACACGACCTGGTAACACGTCACAGTACCAGCCCGCAATGTTGTTGTTGGATATGTCTGATCGAAAGTTTTGGTATTGGGTATTGGGTATTGGGTGTTGCGTATTTCGGCATTCTTTTTTGTTGAACGGGTAGGGCCTCCGCTGAGGTTTGTGAGGTTTGTGTTTGCCGACGGTCTGGGCCATTGACAGTTTTCGGTTCGGTGTTCGGCTTTCAGTTGGGTTCGCGTCGCCCAGCGTTCAGGTTGAGACTCCAATCAGAGAGAGTCCACGGATTTCACTTTCGTTTTGAGCAGATTTCGTAAGCCAAAAGATGCGCCAAAAACTAAAGCTGCACCTGATTTTGGTGCTGGGTCTGTGCGTCTTTATAAATCGGACCCAAGCCCAGTTGATAGGTGGAGAGGAAGACGAGGAGGAGGAAGAGGAGGAAGAGGAGGAGGAGAGCGTGGAGGACGAGACTTTCGAGGAAAAGCTACAGCGTAAGAACATCAAGCAGGACTCGAGTCTCAGTGTGGTAGGAAGATTAACGACCAGGGCTCGTCATCGTTGTCAGCCACGTCTCACACACATTTCATCAACAGGACAAATTAATTGCCAAGTACGGCTATGAGGCGGAAGTGCATCATGTGACCACCGAGGACGGATACATCCTGACAATGCACCGTATTCGCAGTCAGGGCTCCCAGCCCTTCCTGCTGCAGCACGGACTTGTGGACAGCTCGGCGGGTTTCGTGGTAATGGGCCCCAACGTGAGCCTGGGTGAGTGCGTCGCGTGGGATTTCTGATTAATGGGCTAGTGATTACCCCCCATTCGTACACCCCGCAGCCTATTTGCTGGCTGACCACAACTACGATGTCTGGCTGGGAAACGCACGCGGTAATCGCTACTCGAGGAACCACACCAACCTCGACCCGGACGAGTCCAAGTTCTGGGACTTTAGCTGGCATGAGATAGGCATGTACGACCTTCCAGCAATGATCGATTATGTGCTAAAGGTCACCGGCTTCAAGCGGCTGCACTACGCCGGACATTCCCAGGGCTGCACTTCATTCTTTGTGATGTGCTCGATGCGACCGATATACAACGAGAAAGTCGTCTCCATGCAGGCCCTCGCACCTGCTGTATATGCCAAGGAGACCGAAGACCATCCATACATACGAGCCATAAGCTTGTATTTCAATGTGAGTAGGACACTGCATGCCCGCATCGGATCTCAGTGGAGTTTCTTCTAAAATAAAACCAATATTTAGAGTCTGGTTGGCAGCTCCATCAGAGAAATGTTCAACGGAGAGTTCCGTTTCCTATGCCGCATGACCGAGGAGACGGAGCGACTGTGCATCGAGGCCGTCTTTGGGATAGTGGGACGCAACTGGAATGAGTTCAACAGGGTAATACGAGATTAAAAGAAATATTAACCGGCCAATGCGCTCTGAACTCACTTGATCTATGTTTTAGAAAATGTTCCCTGTTATCCTGGGGTCACTATCCGGCCGGAGTGGCCGCGAAGCAGGTGAAGCACTTCATACAGATCATCAAGAGCGGCCGGTTTGCCCCCTACAGCTACAGCTCAAACAAAAACATGGTTCTGTACAGGGACCACCAGCCGCCGCGTTACAACCTCAGCTTGGTGACGGTGCCCACCTTTGTGTACTACTCCACGAATGATTTGCTCTGCCATCCCCGCGACGTGGAGTCGATGTGCGACGATCTGGGAAATGTGACGGGCAAGTATCTGGTGCCCCTCAAAGAGTTCAACCACATGGACTTCCTCTGGGCCATCGACGTACGAAAGGTTCTCTATCAGCGCATGCTGCAAGTGCTCGGCAAGCTGCCGGAGGATCCCCAAGGAGAAGGCCGGACTCTTCGAGTCGGTCGTGGAGCACGCGGACGTGGCCTACATGCGATCTGAACGCATCTGGAGGGAGTTGAACCTATAGACTTAATACTTAATATTTATTTATTTGTTTCCCTTTTGTTCTACTTAGCTTTAAATATAGAAGAGATATTTGCATAAAATTTCGTATTTTCAAATATGCAAGGGGTCGGGGTTGAGGGAGCAAAAGTCTTGCCTTTGACCGGAAACGGAAGTCAAGTGTTTCTTTTGGCCCACAATGCTGTAACAGATTTTCCAGCAGCACCCACCCACCCCAAGAAGAAGCACGATACATGCATTTGTAAGCAGATTTCCTTCGAGTACAATTTTCCATTTTCCCATGCACATGCCACTCCGCTAACAGCTGCTACTGAGGCCATGGCTTACTCTCACTCTGATGTCGTTGCCTCTTCTACTTTTGCCCCTACTTTCTTGTGCTTCGCAGATGCTTTCATGCCACATTGTCTTGGCATTTGCATTTCGGTTCAGTTCAACTCGGTTGCACTGGGCTTTTCCTGAATAAGCCAAGTTAAGTGAAAATCTGTGTTTAAAATCAACCCTATATTTAAACCTTCAATAGCGAGTTCTCGCAGATGGCAAAATGTGTACGTTTATGTATCGAAGGACTTGAGAATGATAAGTTATAAATAGAAAATACTCCCTTGTGTTCATTATCGTTGATGTAAATTCCTGATTAGACTTGGTTCATTAAAGTCAAAAAAATGTCCTATCAGAAGAAATAATAATAGTATTAATAAAAATGCCAGACTTAAAGGGCTCCCTTCCATTTATATTAATTCAACTTATTCTATTTGAATGGGAATCCGCAATATGTCATCATAACTGCATTTTATAGTAAAACATTTATACAAATTTGTGGCCCAAGATACTGCCTAAAGGTCGCAAATCAGTTTTTTTTCTTATGTGACTTCATGTAGATTGAGTAATTAGAGGATAGCCAGTTCTTGATCAACAACTCATCCTCATGACCACGAGCACTGTCAGCTATACGCACGAAAATCTGTGACATCCACAATTTTGAAGATACGAGAAAACGGACAGCGCAGCTTTATATTTTAAGTTTTATGGTCATCATCTAGACCATAAAATTTAAAATATAAAATTTTAAAAATTCTTCATAAATCATAAGCTCACATATCTATATACTGACTGAGTTCGGGTATAAAAGTAGAGTCGCGTTTACAGAAGCGACTCACACGTTCCTTCTCGTTTTTCCTTAACTTCGTGCATTAGTTATCTAAAAACGTCACTAAGGTTTTATGGTACGTTATCGTTGTGGCTTCGAGGCTTGGCCTTTTCGTCGATATAAAAGCTCGGCGTTTCCACGGAACATGGACAGTGACTTAGTGGCAACGGCTCCCGAGGGATTATTTGCACTGCTGAGTGTCTGTTGATTCTCTCTGGCCTCGGCCGGATTTGGCCTGGGCGGTGGCAGTATCAGCCTGGGTGGATCCACTTTCGGCCTGGGTCATGGTGCTGGGAAGTGCTTCCGGGAATGGTGGTCCTCCAGCCGCGGTGTCTCGACCCAGAGCTTAGGGATAAACGGTGGACACGATATGTTGGGAGCTGCTGCAGCTGGAGCTCTAAATTCTGCCGGTTCTTCTGCTTTATCTCTAGGAGACCACACAGCAGAGATGATTTAAAGTAGCCTTGCTGAAGTTAGTACATCTGGCTCTTCATCACATAATTCTGGAAGCATCGAAGCTTATGGAGCTCATGGGAATCGTTTATCTCTTATGGCTGGATCTGGAAAGATAAGTGCTTCTGGAAGTGCTGGATTGATTGGATTGGATTGGACATTGATTGTCATCTACTAGCTCTGTTGTAGGGATCCTGGATCCCACCTGGCCGCAGACAGTTAAATAGGTGATTCTGGAGCTGGCATTTCTGCTCTTCATTCTGGAGGTTATTCGGCTCTTTCTCTCCGTGCCTAAAACACTGGATTGTATTGGCAGTATTGGAATTGAGGCATTTGGATTAATATCCGTTGCTGGAGCTGGGCCCTCACTTCAACATTCTCCATTTTCTGCCACCGAAAGTTGCGGTGCACTTACATTTGAAAAGATGGTAGAGCGGTCTTGCGGGTATGGAAGCCTCTGGAGATGGAGCATCTGGTTCGTACTTCAGTTCAGGGCCAGCCTCACGGGGATCTCACACTTTGAGGCCGCACAAGATAAACTCCAGGCATCTAAACATCGATGCTGTTGGGGGTAGGGGGAGAACATGAGGCCGCTGCCTCACTTATGCATGGAGTGGCTTACGGTTTTCTTGAAGCTGGCGCTTCCGTATTGTCGTCTGTCGGTTCCGGCAGCACATCACTTGAAGGGCACGGCGGATAAGCGCATTTTCTTTGGTGAGTGTCAGATTTTAATTCAAAACTTAAATTTTCGTATTTCTTAGTATTACTTTAATTTAACCTTAAACATAATGAAATTAATTTTTATTGAAAACTGCATGGCCTTACCGTTGAAGTTCCTAGGATATCTTTACCAAGAAACTGCCTCGAAAATAGCCTCGAAAAGTAGCACAGTTACAGTGACGCGTTTGACGTAGATATGTAAATGAACGACCGACCACTTGGTTTGATGTTAACGAACATTTCAGCGTAGCAACTGAAAATTAATTTCTTCATTCTGGCTATAATAATAGTCCAATCTGATCCAGATCTTGTAGACATGACATTTCTTTAAAATTTTGGATATCGCAGATTTTCGTCCCAGGCTGAGCGAAATTTTGAAATACTCTTGTAACAGCATCACATCACAGCAGTCTGGATACAACTTTCTTCCCACCAGCAAATGACAAGCTTGTGACGAATAAACGAATAAATCCACACAGAAGTGTGTGCATTTAAGAATCATTACAAACTTGTTTGGAAGGCTTTGGCGAAATCATCTTAGTACCGTCAATATTAACTTTTACATATAATAAAGATTTCGCTTTTTTAATCTTCAATCTGTTTATTGGGCCATACATATATATTTTTTTTACATAACTGATGAGAGTATATAATACGATTGTATTTTAATCTTTACAGATTGAATGACGTAGACCTTTAGGGTCATTGTCGTAACCATCGAACACCTCCGCATATCATTTAAATAAAATTCAATCTAATCTTAGTCGAGCCAGTAGTCAATACAGATAAGTATTTCCTAAACCAATCGCGATGAAATCGGTTTATACGTATTATACGATTAGAGTCCACAATTAAATGTACACAGCGTGGCTTTGATACTCTTTTTTGATGAAGGCCCAGACAGTTAGGGGTATTAAAAGATTCAGTCTCTTTAGGGTTTACGAATATAAAATATCATCGATCATGTGGCCAACATTGGCCAACATTCGATGGCTGCCACAATCTCCCGCACGCGGTCAGAACATTAAATGGGATTTTTGTACTCTCTAGTGTAGTTTCCAGTATTTCTAGACAATCGACATTATTCAAATGATGATAAATGTGTTGGAACTCGTTATTGTTCTCTCCGAGAGTTAATTATTTCAGCTTTTGTTGACTTGACCCTAGGATCTCTGTGTTAGGAACGTGACTCCTCATACTCGTACATATGTATATACATATGCACGTAAGCCCGGGCTGCTGTTCTTTTTTCACACTCTGTGAGATTTGTGTTTAATTCGTTATTATTTTTCCTTTTTTGCTTTGTAGACTCTAATAAAAGCCAATGCCTTTCCGTGGGACTTCGTTAGTTAGTTGGAGGCAAAGGTTCCGATGAGACTGTTCATAGTGCTGAGTGTTTGCGTAGTTCTGGCATCGGCCGGGTACGGCGGCGGCGGTGGCGGTCACGCATCGTCTTCGGCATCAGCCTCGGCTGGAGCTATAGCGGGCGGCGATGGTGGCGGTAAATTTGGAGGTGGCCCTGGATCAGGATTTGGATTTGGCGGTGGACTTTCTGGACCAGGATTGGGCGGTGGAAGTCATGGCGGTCCCTTTGGAAGCGGCGGTCAGCACGGCGGAGGCTGGACCGGTGGAGACAGTGGTGCAGCTGGAGGATCTGGCGCATCTTTAGCTGGTTCTAATGCAGTGAGTGCAGCTGGTGCCCATGGCGGTGGTGGCGGTGGTGGCGGAGGAGGAGAATTATTTGGAGGCGTTGGATCGACTGGTGGCGGAGGAGGTCACGGACTAGGTGGACTTGGAGGAAGTAGTGGTCATGGATCTGGAGGTGCACATGGAGGTGGAGGAGGAGGAGGAGGAGGAGAATTATTTGGAGGCGTTGGATCGACTGGTGGCGGAGGAGGTCACGGATTAGGTGGACTTGGAGGAAGTAGTGGTCATGGATCTGGAGGTGCACATGGAGGTGGAGGAGGAGGAGGAGGAGGAGGAGGATGGGGCGTTGCACTGGGGTCACGGTTAGGTGGACTTGGGGGTGGGGTGGGTGGAGGTGGAGGAGGAGGAGGAGGAGAATTATTTGGAGGCGTTGGATCGACTGGTGGCGGAGGAGGTCACGGACTAGGTGGACTTGGAGGAAGTAGCGGTCATGGATCTGGTGGACATGGCTTTGGAGGCGGTGAACACGGCTTTGGAGCTGGCGGTAGTTCAGCTGGATCAGGAGTTGGACTGCACGGCGGACACGGATCTAGAACGCCTGGCGGTGGCTTCGGAGGTGGTCAAATTGGAGACGACCAAGGATTTGGACATCCCGCAATCGGCAATGGACATGGACCAGGGATTGGTGGACGTCCCAGTCATGGCGCAGGTCTTTACGGTCCCTTCACTGGAGGCTTTAGTGGCAGCAAGGGTGGCGGATACGGTGGCGGTTACGGTGGCGGAGGCGGAGGAGGCGGAGGCTATGGAAAGGGTGGCGGTGGAGCTCACTCAAGCGCCTCCGCGGCAGCTTCGGCCACAGCATCTGCCGGAAGTGGCGGCGGCTATCACGGCTAATAAGCCGTAGCTTTCTACTTAATTATCCCTAATTTCTAAGATTTCAATAAAGATTTCGTTTTAAATGCGAAAAGGATGTTTGCTGTATGGTTTGTATCTACATTAGAGATAAAGTTTGTTATGTTCGATTCCTAGCGTCAGGCATTGAGTTAAAGCACAGTCATTTAGCGACATATGGATCTTGAACCGATGGCAAACATGTTTTTTTCTCACTGAATTTCGGAGAAGGCCTGCCCTCCACAACAAAGTTAGTCAAAGAAAATTCAAGTAAAAACTCGAAAGTTAGTCAGTTTCGGAATTTTGTAATATGAGAACATTTTAATGGGACATGGTCCGATAAAAGCGTTGGGTAGTTGGCTCTAACTACCGTATAACCAAAGACAATATAATACATAGTAAGATGCCTACGACCGCTAACCATACAGTATATAGATGTGCCAGTTCATACACCGAACTTGTCGCAGCTGTGTTTTCTGTCCCAGCACCCCCAGGCCTTCGGCTGGGGACCATTCGGCTGTGGTGCTGAGACGTTCGGGTCGTGGGCCTGAGACGTTTGGCATCGGCATGTACAATATTGTACAGCCCACACACAAGCACAGTATGTGTGAATACATGGCACACACACATTTACGTAACCTGGAAATGAAACTCAAAATAAACTCAAACGGTTTCGGAAAATAAGAATTCATAAATATTTTGTCGTGTCTGTGTACACACATACATTTGCAATTCTCGGCTTGCTTTCGCATCTCGTCATGAATCGAACATGTCGAAAAAATGCCGAACGTCTCAGGCCCACGACCCGAACGTCTCAGCACCACAGCCGAATGGTTCCCAGCACCCGAAGGCCTGGGTGTATTTCAAAATTTCGCCTCGCCCCCTTCCGCCCTACAAAGGACGAAAATCTGTGGCAGGCACAATTTTAAAGATACGATAAAACTATTAACGCAGTATCGTAGAGAATGCCCATATCTAACAGATTGTCGATTGCCAATTATTAATTTTTTAACAGTAACTATAAAAATATAATAAAAACACCTTATAATCAATATGAACTAGTTTCTAAGTTTCAATATTGTTTGAAAAAACCGACGAAATCAAAAAACAATACCGAAAAAAAACGGAAAAAGATAAAATATTTTTAAGTTCGAATCAAATATGTAGGTCTGTCTTTAGGTGGAAGCGAATAGCAATACTGGCGCTTCAGTATAAAATATATTGTATGGGTTACATATGTACACATGTAAATAACAAGATTGCATACACATACCTATACTGACTAAGCACCGGATATAAAAGTAGTGCAAGGGCCGCGGCTCACAACGTTCCAGCTCGGCTTTGCACACTTCTGCATCCCTTCTTTCTCTCGACTAGATATTGTTTACAGAATATAAAAACCCGTTACTAGCTTCCAAAAACAAGCTTTGTAGCTGTATACAAGGTTCATATTTGCTTGATTTCTGTTGGAAACCCCTTCTTTTTCATGGGGAGGAAGCTCCACTTTATCATCCACATAGTTATCTTTGCCAATCAAAAACTAGGGAGGGTTTTATCTTTCATAAGTTTGTGTGACTTCTTATCGGTACACATTCAAAGTTGGATGGAAATTCGGGTGAAAACTGTTAATAGGGGAAAACACGTCCCAAAAGTCTCGCTGTGGCAGTCCCGATGGAAAACGTTTCCCCTTTGAACAGCTGTTAACTACATATGTCATGGAATTCATCATATGTAAGAATCAGACACCGAGAACTTTCCCCACTCGGTCGGTTGTGAATTCTGGCTTTGTAAGTTTTCATCAGAATTAATGGCCTATTGGGAGGCGGCAGATGTATACGAAAACCGAAGACATTGATGCCACTCATGGTCATATAAATCTTTTAAATGGGTTGGACAGACTGCTCTCTGCTTGAACTTTATGTGTCCCTCGCAAACATTTATCATTAAGTATAGTTTTACTATTGCAAATTGTTGCACACGATTCTCCATAGGGGGAAGGAGATAGCAAATTGAAATCTTAAGCAAACTCCTTGGCCTCCGCCTCAAAGTGCAGTTTTATTGCCAGCGGAAACAGTTGCAGGAGCAGCATCTGGCTTGGTTCTTTGGTCCTTTGGCACTCGTCCGCGCCCGCGGCCTCTGTGATAGTCGGGGGTCTGGACTATGCAATAAACCCCGAGACCAATTTGCACAAGGACGATGAACCCCTGTGGTGCAGTTCTGCAACATTAAAGAGGAAGCTAGTCTGAGACGGGCCTCCGTCTGCTGGCGGCTTGCCACAGAGTCACATTCGGTCCGTGCGATTGCAACAGTTGTGGAGTTCGGAGGAGTTGGGAGCTCCATTCGCCTTTGTCGAACTTTGTCGAGCCATATTGTGGGATTCTTTTGTTCACTGCAATTTATGTTTGGCAATAAAATAAATGTAAAATATTTGTAAATGTGTATACATATATGTACTCGTATTCGTACTGGTATTTTTAAATATTCCAGGGCTTTGAGCTCATCTCAGGTGGCGCCTGAAAGTATGCCGTTCCCGCCATACCATTCCATTAGAGCTGAAAGTAGGCAATACATTATGCGCTGAAACTTTAATTAAAATTAAATAATTCATATTGCATATCGCATACGACTACGAGTATTGTTCGCATCGATATCGTTGCCGGTCGCAAAATGGGTTCGCTTTGTTCATTAGCCCGGGGCCTCGTAATTGAAAAGTTTGCACTGCAAATGAGGGTCTCGTAATTCAATTTACGGATCTGCGAGAGGCTGATAAAAGCATGGAAATGGCCAATAACAATACGAGAGCAGACCGGCTAACGTGCAAAAATATTACAAAGTTCGTCCGGTCCCCGCCGTGATTGCGCCCGCGAAAGTGCGTTTACATAATTAACACGACGTTCATTAGTTGGCATTTTAATATTATTTCATGTTGTCATTGGCAACGGTTTCGCCGAGCCCACCGGCTAATATTCATATTTTATCAACTGCAAATTATTTAAATTTTGGTGATTTTAATAAACAAATATTTATAGTCCGAGTTCATTATTTAAGCATCGAAGTGCTTTTCAATTGAGAACTCTTTTTTTAACTGTCAGATTAGACAGCTAATTATATGTAATTGCAATCATTTTATTTGACTGCATTCTAATACTACGCCATTTAATAACCATTAATAATTAAATGCAAATAAATCAACCATTGAAATATTTACATAATTTTCAGATCCCAGACTTATATAAATACATACTCGACAAGCCTCAACAATAATTTGGCAATAAAACGATTAGAAAAACTATCTGAGGCCCGACCGGTTTCATTAACTGATTATGAGGTGGATCTTTTGCATAAACAAATAAACAAAGCAAAATTTAATCATTATCGGGGGCCCAGTTTCCTAGTTTGCAATAAATTAGTATTGATTCGAGTATGTTCCGAAAATCACTTTCCCTCGATGAGTGATTTACTCTCAAATCGAAAAATCCCCGAATTCTTACGCTTTCCTAATTGACTTTTCACAACTTTTGGCTGGAAAACCCCTGCGCTGTGAGTCGCTAATAGCCTCACACGCTTTCGATGTGACCGAGGGGAGAAGTACGAATAAAAAGTTAGGTTCGCAATGACGAAACTGGAACTGGTTTGGCCAGATATATTATTATTCTGTGTAGATATGTATGTACATATGTATAATGAATGTCTTCTTTGATGTTGACTTTATTAACAGTCTCGCATTAAGCATATAGCTACAAGTAATTGTTGTTTGTTCGCTTCTCATGGGAGTTATATTATTGTATTATTGTATACTTGAATAGCTCATACATACATACATATGAATCTCTAAGAACCAAAAAAATTGGGGATTCTCAACTGGGTTGTGTGATTTTTTGCTCGATAATGATACGAGCAAACATTTGATTCTGCTTGAAGTTCGTCAACTTAAAATAGCACAGAAAGTACGAGGTTACCTTATTGGCCATGAACACTTCGAAATAAGAGAATTATATATACATATATGCAACTATTTATGTACATATATAAAAATATGTATACATATATGTATTGGGCTGGGCAAAAACATGTTTTTTTTGACGGCCACCTGCGTAGTGAATAAAAATACTGTTTTAGTTTCTACGAAAAAAATACACTTTTTTGAGGCAATATGCAAAAAAAAAAAATTAAATTTAATCGATTTTTAGAAGTAATATTGAAACTAAGAAACTAGTTCATATTGATAATAAGGTATTTTTTTTTACGTAATGGTAAAAAATTAACGATAGGTGAAAATCAGGAAGTTCAGTTGAGGTTGATATATTTAGTTAACTTGTTTGCAAAAACTTGTGCATGTTTTTTACTGCCAATAACTGATTAATTTCGATAATTATAATTATTCATGAAATATATTTCAACGCATTATACAATTCATTCAGCAAATAAAATTTTTTTTTATTTTCTTTCTTAAAAAATTTTGTGAAGTTCGGTAGCATCATCTAAAAAATGTTTTTAAATAAAAATAAAAACTTTAATAGATAATAAAATTAAGGGGTGTCCCGTTTAAATTTCGAAAAAAAAACATTTTTTTGTCTTAACCTAATATTTATGTTATATATAATAAATAACATTTTCGATATTTCTGTATCATTTTAGCTAATCGTGGTTTCTAGATTTACATATGTATACTGGAATTTTCTCAACTTTTTTTCCCGACTTTTTCCTCAAGGAACTAAAAAAACTTTTTCTGAAAGATTTTCAGTTAAGTTAAATTATGTGAAAAAACGAAGTTCGATTTTGTCGTGTAGTGTTATTGATGATTTTTTTAAGCTTTCTTCTGACCTCAGCGAGATATTGTTCTCGTGAATGCATTTATTGACTGAGTCAGAATAACAAAAACATAAAAAGGACAAATTGGAAATTAGATAGTTATACTCGTAATCGTTGCTTAAAAGAATAACATTAGTTTCTCAATTGAAACAAAAGAAAAATATGCTAAAATATATTGATCAAAAACTTCACTTATGATTGCTAATCGATTAAATCACTTACATTGACGGAACATTCACTTGAAGCCTTAACAAACTGTTTTTGTAGATTGTGAGAGTGACAAAGGTAGTGTAATATTTTTAGTCTTAAATTACAGATTGGAAACTAAAGACAGTTAACTCGATCGGAACGGAGCAGTCTCTGCGGTAGACTGATCAACCATTTATCAAGATACATATATCGAATAAAAAAATTTTGGAGAAATGGCGATCGAAGTCAAATTAGGAGAACAACAGTATATTATCGGGTCCCTCAACACCTTGCTCTGTCTCCGAGCCACGTGCACATCTTTTGGAAACAACGACATCAAAACCGCTTTCGACTTAAAAAAAACCAAACAGGGGAATAAACTCTTCAAGATGAACTTGTCAGATGATCGACCTTAGAAATCAGACAGCTCCCCAGGCACTTGTGTCCACTGGGGAACTACGCAGATCAGGAAGCCCTCAAGCATCATTTGAGTTAGTAAACAACAGCTCTTCTTCTATTGCAGACACTCGACGACGACTCATGCCTGGCCTGGGGTAAATGAGTACGAGTATGTTGGGCTGTGGTTCATAATTATGCATGTTCGTATCGTAACGGGTTTGGGGATTCACCCGGTGCTGATAATTAGATATAAAAGCAAATGAAAAGAAAACCGGTAAATGATCTGTTCGGCTGCCGAGCTGGGGCGGCAATTTGTCCCAAGCGTCTTGCCGAACCCGACCAGCGTTTTGGATAAATACATTTGGGGCTCTGGTGTGAGACCGTCAGTTTATTTCTTGACGGCTCAGCGCTCGTACATACAGGCAGAAAACCAATTATGAAGATCCTCATTGTGCTGGCAGTTCTGGTCACCGTTGCCTCGTCTCTTCCTCAATTTGGCTTTGGAGGCCCTGGCTTTGGCGGACCTGGCTTCGGAGGCGGCGGCTATGGAAACCAAGGCTTCGGCGGATTTGGAGGAGGCCCTGGATTTGGAGGCGGCCCTGGCTACGGTGGTTTTGGAGGTGGTCCCGGCTATGGCGGATTCGGTGGAAGCCCGTATGGCGGCTTTGGAGGTGGTGGTGGTCGTCGACGTCATCATGGCGGCGGCGGCGGTGGGGGTGGTGCTGCCTCTGCCTCGGCTTCTTCTAGCGCTTCGGCGGCTGGTGGCGGGGGGGCCGCTGCATCCTCAGCATCCTCATCCGCCTCAGCATCGGGCGGAGGTGGCTTCTATGGCTAGAGCGGTTGTCTTTTGTTTATGCCTAAGTTAGTTTTAATGATTGAAGAAAGTCTGAAAAATATAAGATAAAAAACCCGAATCTTAAGAGATGCCTCTATTCTGTCATTGTCCCACGACACTCGACTCCAATCATGTTCAATGGGAACTACGATGCATAAAAACGCCGTTAATTCATGCATATAAGTCGGGGAAATAATAAAATTAGTTGCACATACGTTGGTGGGCTTTGCTGATGCGGGTGGGGAAGTAGTATAAAACTATAAAACGTCCAATGCCCTACTTCTTAGGGAGCGGAGCACTGGGACTCCCCTGTATTCATCTATTGGCCTATACATACATACATATATATGTACATACATGCAAATGCAAATCTAATGTTTAACAGATGTCGAGATTGCTTAATCTGTATCCCAAATTAAACAAACAAAAATAAGAAAATTAATTCGATTTACGATTTGGTGAGTTTTTAATTTTATTTTTGCATTAATTTGAATAATTTAAATTTGGAATTTGGCCGAAAAAAACTTTTATACCATTGTCAAAGTGTATTGTACAGAAGGTTGCGCCTTGCCAAAAAAAATAAATGTTGCAGATGTGTTCGAGAAAAGAAATAATAGATTATTATTTCCTTCGCTAGAGATGACTAGAGTGAACTACACAGAAAAAAATTGTTCGATTTTAAATCGAAATTCGCAGATCAAGTATGTACATACATTTATAATATCGTTCTTATATGTGAAGAATATCAAATCGAGATGCTGGTTTTAGCTGGTAGGCTCCGGTTTTCACTTACTTATTCGTTTTATTTAATTTTGTTATATTTATTTTGTCTAATTAATGTGTTATGACATTAAACTTTGCAAACTTTCTGCGAAGAGAGAGACAGAATGAGAGACTGATTTTCCCAGAACGCTGTCTCTGTTTTTGCAGTTAGTCAGTTAGCAAATTGTAATCTACAAAAATATGACTTTCAAATTACATATATTATCAAATTGTGATGTTAAAAAATATCGCTTTGACATTTTCGAACGTATTAAATCGTATCAGGTACAAAAGGAAATGTAAAATCATCGATTGAACAATTGAACAATTTGCCATTAGATGTAATGCAATGTACGAGTATGTATAATCATATGCGTGTAAGAAAAAACAAGACTACATCCATATCGATATTGTTCAAACAAGCAAGATTCTCTCATCAAACCTCCATAATCTAAATGTAGTTCCCAAATTAATTTTTTACAATGGATCCAACAACAAATTCTAGTTAGACTTGTTTTCTTCATCTAGATATCACTGGCGCCAGCTGTAATGTACTCCAACCACAGATCCCGTACACTCGGAAGTGCACGTCAGCATCGAGAATTGGGCATCGCAAAAAAAACAAAAAAACCGATACAGATTAACCGGTTACAGTGTGGGCTCGAGATCGAGCCACCCGAGACTGTGTAGGGTACAACCATCGTACGTTCCAAACTTGCTAATGAGCCAAGCCATAAATATTGTTAATTTGCTGGGGCATCGATTCTACGATTGTTGTTGCTGTTGACGCTGTCGCCCGGGCCGCATCTCTGGTTCAGCAGATGGCTTTCCCTGTGTATCTATTGCCTCGAGACTGTATAAAGGGCATGGTAGTAGCTAAGTTTGCGAAGCTCTCTCTAGGGAACACAAGCATAGTCATGAAACTGTTCGTCGCGCTCTCCGTTTTGGTGGCTGTGGCCTCGGCCCTGCCACAGTTGGACGGTGGACGTCCCGGCGCTGGTTTCGGAGGTGGTGGCAGTGGCGTTAGCTCTGCATCCGCATCATCGTCGGCTTCTTCTGCCGGAGGCGGCGGTCGTGGTGGCGGCGGCTCTTCATCTGCATCATCCTCCTCCCTTGCCTCAGCTGGCGGACGCGGTTAAACCATTCCATAAGATATTTTCAAATAATTGTTAAGAAATGACTGTGAATAAAACAAAACATACAAAATTTAATTGATTTAAATATTATGACGTCATGATAAGGGGGAAATACAGTAGGACTTGGACTCTATGAAGTTCATGATTAATATACATCCATACATATGTTCATATGTAAGACTACGATCTATGTGCATATTCACATTGGCTGACAAAAAAGTATTTCCACCACTGTTGATCAGGAATATACATATATGTATGTACTTATGTTTTGTAAGAACATATCTCAGGCTGGGATGTGCATCTCCAGTCTGTCCAGGGTCCTGAATTACAAGGTAATTTATAATTCACAAGGACTTTATTGGGAAAACGGGGACTTTGCCAGCAACTGAAATAAAATGGTTAGCGAAACCTAGCCACGCCAGGCAGTGCCTTTTACGGATCGGCCGGCCATCGATTTTCCCACCAATGTCTTACAGATCTTATTTATATTTCGGAATGTTGGAAGGGTTCTTACAGTTCTTTTTTTAATGCGTTTATCTAAAACCAAAAATGTTGGCCAAGAATTATTTTTTTTTCGACTTTTCCCGAGTTTTTAAAGTCAAAATTTCGAAAAATAATACCGCAAAAACTGATGATATTTGAATTTGAAAGCTTAATATCTTCCAGGCGTTAAGCTGCAGATACAAAAAGTCTAGGTCGGATTTATAGCTGCGTTTGTCAGTTCTATGCAACCAGATATTAAATACTTAAGTTATGTGAAAAATAGAAGCACTACCACTGAAAAAACACAACAACAAAAATACAAGATTTTTAAAAAATTCTTTTAAAAAAAACTACAATATAAAAAAAAACCATAATTCGTTAAAAAATTGTAAGCCACGAAATCTATAAGAATCTAAATTTTTGGGGCCACAGCCTAATTCTAGTGTGCACCAGTGTAATCATTAGCTCTGCACTCAGTCTCCAATATTCCCGGTAAGGGAAGTCGAAGACTGCTGACTGGCTCGCGCGTGTGAGTGGATTGCCCGGTAGCAGTGGGTTACCTAAGGCAATCGCCTCCCAACAAGTGGCCAATTTCCCAGGTGAGGTGATCGGAAAGGAATTTCGTTGGAACTTCGTGAATATATTTTTAGGAATATTTGCCGGTCTCCTGTCTTTTGGCATGTCTGAGTTTACGTGTTTGCTGGGTGTTGATCTCGTCATTTGAGAACTTTGGTTACTTGGTTTTTCTGCGGTGGGTGTTGGTTATATAATCTTGGCAAGCGCCTTTCCGGCCGCGCATGTGTTGAGTTCTCGGTTTTCTTTCTTTCTTCGGTCGACGTCTTTCGGACTTTCGACCTGCGCTGCGTCTTCGAATTCGTTGGTGTTGATATCTTCACCTGGGAGTAGCGTTGGTTGCATCGACTGCTTGTGACGAACCATGGGATCCATGGGAACTCGCTTATGCGGGCGACGATGGGTGTGGCGTTGGCCGTGGATTGAGTAGTTTCGTAGGTCTGGTGGCATATTTGAGTTGTATAGTCAGACTGGTGCGTGAACGCCTCTGCTATCGGAACAACGACTTGTTTGGGCGACGAAGATCTCCGACATGGCTCCAGGCATGACTCGGTGCATGGCGCTAAGGGTCATGTCAGTACGCGGAAGGTACTCCAATGTGTTGGCGAAGATCTGGGTGTGTGTCGGCCATGGTTACGACCGGGCGCGGTCAGGTCATCGTCCTGGTTTCCGGGTCCTGGCAGAGAGGTTCGGTGGATTAGCGTGGCTGTTTCCCGAGTTGCTGGGCTGTCGGATTGTAGCTGTCGTTGTCCTTGTTCGATGCTGGTGGTCGGCTCTGACGCCCCTTGGACGCCCCTTGTGTTCAATTTTTCCGTTGCAGATCCTATGCTTTCTTGCTCTGTTGCTTGTCTTGGACCTGGGCTTCCTGTGTCGAGCGCCGGGTTCAAGTGGGTTTGTCTCGTGTGTGAGATCCTCGGGAGTTGGTTGGGAAGCGTGGTCCCTGTTGTTGGCTTAGGCTGCTTGGTTGCTGTGTGCTGGGGCTGGCCTCGGACTCGGCTTCTCCGTTGTGGGCCGGTGCTTCGAGTTCGTGGCGATTGGTTTGGGTGTCAAGTGCTGCGTTGCGTTATTGGGGCCCGTGTTCGTTTTGGTAGGTCGTGGACGTGGGTTCGTTGCGATTTGTTGTGGTTTCTTATTGCGGGGTTCGGCGTCTTGTACGTGGTAAGCACTGGTTCAGTGGGCATGGGACGACGGTCTCGAAGCTGTTGCAGCGTGGTGCCGCATTGGATCGTCGTTTCGGTGGAACATAGGAAGTCCATGCCGACAATTACTTGTCCCAACCTGTTTGGCAGGACCAGGAGCGGGCTTTGAACCTTGATGTGCGCCAGTAGAACTTGTGAGATCTCTCTGGCCGAGCTATCGGCCAGGCGTATGCGGACGCATTCATCATGCAGGTTGGTGTTGTTGTCTAGTTGTCGGGCGAGGTTTGCACTGATAAAGCTTCGAGATGTGTCGATTGTGGCTTCCGTTGCGTGCCCTCCTAGGGTCACCATCGCTACTATCCTGCCTTTCTTCTCGTTTAGGGGGTTTCTTAGTCGCGGGTCTGAGGAGGCGTCGTTCCCGGTTGATCCCGTGTCAGTCGAGGACGTGAGTCGTTTCCCGACGTGTCCCGGCGATTGCAATCGGTGGTCCGTGCGCCGCACTTGCCACATTCCCAGCAGAACAGGATCGAGGGATTCTGGCAGTCGTATGCTGCATGCCCTGCTTCACCACACCGGCGACAGGCTGCGCGTGGGTTGGCGATGGGGGTCGTCGTCATGCGATGTGCTACCTCGGGATTCGCCGTACTGTCTGCGTTAGATGGCTGTCTCCTTGGTCTGCCGGGTCCCAATGGGGATTCCGAAATGGTGTCCGATTGGAGTCGCCGCTCCTCTGCTATGTAGCCGGCCTGGCATATCTGGGCGTGTGCCACGGGGGTGCGAGAGTGGTCGGAATGGTCCGCTCTTCAATATTCTCGAACTCCGTGGCCAGAAGTGTTAGCTGAGACAAGTCTTGCAGTTCGTTGCGGCGCACGTACATCTGGTATGCTGGTAGGCCATTGTCTCGAATCCTGTTTAGTTCCTTAACCGCGTCGGAGCCATCGTGGTGCATGAGTAGCCGCATCTCAATGAGGAAATCTTTGAACTGTTCCCCCACCGCTTGCTTGCGGGCTCGGATCTGGCTTACCAACTGTTCAAAATACCGTGGTGGCAATGGGGTCTTCGAGCAGTTCAAAGAACGATAGAGGGTCATCTTGGCCGTCAAACTG